TGATTCTAATGACAGATAAGGTTAGAACTGAGAAGAAGGAATAATTGACAAAGCTTGTGTAGAACAATTATGTCTCCTTTCTTGACTCATGAGCATTGCTGTAGTACCCCATGGTGCCTCACAACTCCGATTCCATTCCCTTTCCACAAAATATTCAAGAAGCATTTCTTCTGGAAATAAACATAAAGACAACATAGAAAAAAAGTAATATATCCATGGTGTGTATTTGTATCTGGAGATAAACTTTCCCCATTTCAGCGTCTAGATAAATTACTGATTCACTGCATTCAAAGCAAAGTGTTCTGGACAGAAAGCCCTGCCAGCACGCAGGGTTTTCATTCACTCCTCCTTTGTCCATGGTTAGCAAACAATTCTAAAAGAAGTCAACTTAGCAGTATATAAGTAGGAAGCTTAAGAAACACAGAATGTTCTTTGTTGCTTTGTATGTCCCTCCCCCAGTATAACCCCTGCTTTCACTGTATTTGATGTTGGTATAATTTGTGGAGGGGAAGGGAAAAACAAATCGTTTAAATAGGGGTACAGGTGGACCCATTGCAACAATGAGACGTACAAGTCGAAAAAGAACTTTACAACTTTGGTGGTGGGGGGGGGGGGAGGACGGGATGGGAAGGGGAAACAAAGGAGGAGGCTACAATGCTTGATAAGAAATGCACTTTATCTTGCTCATGTAATTGTAACCTATCTCTACAGTATTTTCACAATAAAAAAAATGAAAAGTAAAAAAAAAAGATACACAGAATGAAGGGAATTCTTGGATCAGAAGAGACCTTAAGCAAAATGTATATTTTATTATTTTTGGAAACACATATATTACCTTAATAAACTGAACAAAATCATTACCTTGAAAAATCAGAAAAGAAAGTGTTCTTAGAAAAGAAAATGTTGGCCTATCTTCAAAACCATCATCATCATCATCATCATTAATTATTATTTTTAGTCATGGGGCTTAAATTCAGGGCCTGGGTTCTGTTCCTAGCTTTCTCAAACAAGGCTAGCACTTTACCAGTTTGAGCCACAGTACCACTTCCAAGCCTATTATTTTTTAATAGTGAAGATAAAACAGAAAGGCAAGAACATCTAGCCAATGTTTCAAAAGGAGAAAATGAAGGGAAGCTATCAGAAAAGTAATATAAGAAAAGCGCTATATTTAAAGTACACGTTTCCAGATTAAAAGGTAAATGGAGTGAGAAAAGCCTGACACAATGAAGGAGACCCACATGGATTCATATAGTTGGGAAATTTTAGTGTGACAGAAACAAAAACAAGAAACCTTTGAGAGAATGATGAAAAGAGTGACACTGTTCAAAAAGAAATGTATCCATTACCTAACTTAAGTAACTGTAACCCCTCTGTATAGCACCTTTACAATAAAATTTTCAGAACCAGATGAGCATAACTAGAATGCTTACTCCCTAAAGGCAGGGATGTTTTCTTATTCAGAACTTTTTTTTAAATCTGTTATATAGCGAGAGTTCAAAAAAATTTAATAGAATGACTATGAGGATTTAAAAGACAGTGGAGCAGTGTCTTCAAAGTTCCGATTGAAAATAACTTAGCAAAACACAAAACCTAAGAAACTGTCAAGTGGAACACCAGAATGCAAGGACTTAAGAACATTTGCTTCCTGAATCATGTGTCCTTTCTGGAAAAAGTTATTTAAGGATGCGATCATGAAAATTAAGAACTGTGACCTAGATGAAAAGAAATGATGCAGGACTAGTAAATCTAGTCCTAGTAAATCAGGACTAGTAAATCTAGAATAACACAATAGGCCTAGAAAGTAATTGGAAATTTTCCAATAGGAAAATTAGGAACAATGTCTTTAAGGAGGAGAATGGAATAGGTTTCAAAACATTGAACAAAAGAAGCTGGTATTATTGATATCATAAGAGGTAATCCTAGCTACTCAGGAAGCTGAGATCTGAGGATCTCAGTCCATAAGATTCTTAATCTCTAAGTAACCACCAAAAAGCCGGAATTGGAGTTGGGGCTCAAGTGATAGAGTGAGCACAATAGCTCAGGTACAGAAGCCCCAGTTGGGGGAGTGGGGTGGGGTGAGGGAGGCAAAAAAAGATGATTAGAATTTTTTTAAAAAGAAAACCTGTGTAATCAAAATAAAGTTGCTTGCTGAAGTCATCTAAAATGAAAAGCTAAATACCAATCTTTCAATGTCCAAAATCCAAACAGTAGTCCTCTTTTGTCTGCTGGGGAAAGTTCCAGGGCTTCTGTAGACTCCAGAAACTGTAGACAGCATGGAGTTCCACACCTGCTCTGTTTTTGTGCACATACCTATTATGGCAAGTCAGACAGTAAAAGATGATACCGGTAAAATTAAAGTAGAACAATTACAGTATACTGTAAGAAAACACATAATAAAACAAATGTGCCCTTCTCAAAATTTCTTGTAGATATTTACCTCTGTATATGATTTTTTTTCTTTCTTCATTAAGTCAAGAACTTTCATTTTTACATATCTAAACTCCTTCCTCCTTCCTTCTTTCTTCCTCATCTTTCTCTTCTACTTCTTCCTCCTCTTCTTCCTCCTCCTCCTCTTTTTTTTTGCAAGTACTGAGGCTTGAATTCAGGGCCTTGTACTCTTGCTTGCCCTTTTTGCTCATTGCTGGTGCTCTGCCACTGAAGTCACACCTCTTCTTCCAGGTTTTTAGTGGTTAATTTTCTGCCTTAGCTGGCTTAATTTCAAACTTCAGATCTCAGCCTCCAGAGTAGCAAGGATTGTAAGTATGAACCACTAGTGCCCAGCCTTCAGAACTTGTCATAATCTGTGATGGTTAGATATTTAAGTTGCTTCTGTTTGTTAAAAATTGCATTTTACTACCTCAGACGTTTGCATATAACTTTGCCCCAATTTTTAGAGATACTTCTTGGAGTCCAGGAATGGAGTTAGGAGTCAAAGATTTATACAAGCATGAAGTCTTAATCCATTTTTCCAGCCCTTGTTCTAGAAACTCCATGAATCGTCTCCTGAGGGTAGTTCTTGCAGTATTAAATGTTAGTGTTGAAAATTCTTTGATAATGTGATGGCCATAGTGGTATTTGAGATGAATAGAATATGTGGTACAATTGGTATAGGATCTGTGTCTTACTGGTGTTGCCTTTTTGTTTTCAGAAAGTTATTCTAAATCTTGTTCTATTTTATGCTGGAGGTTTGAGCCTCGGGTACTAAGCATGCTGAGAAATCTCTGTATAAGATTACACTGTTCAGACATGATTTCATATAAATAGGAGCTTGTATGATCTGAAAACGTAAAGCCTCATTAAAACAAGAATCAAGATAAAAATTTCTAACACCAAAAAAGTTTTTTTAAATTTTATTTTCTTGTAAAGATGCTGTACAGAGGGGTTAAAGTTAGATGAGTAAGGTAATGAGTACATTTCTTGTTGAGCATTGTTACCCCCTCCTTTGTTTTTCTCCTACTTTCCCTTCCCTCCCACCTCTTCCACTTCCATTTCCAACATATTGTCTTGTGAGTATTATTGTTGCAGTGGGTCATCCTGTGTCCTTGTTTCAGCATTTTGTTTTTCCCCTTCTACTCCCCAAATTAGATAAATGTATATACAAGATGCAGGGTACCAAAATCAAATACAATGACAACAGAGGATATACCATAGGAGGAAAAGCATACAAAAGAAACAAAAAATTTACATAGTACAGAGCTTCCCTATGACCCAGCAATCCTACTTCTGGGCATTTACCCCAATGAGCACAAACAAGGCCATACTAAAGATACCAGCACTATTATGTTTATCACAGCATTATTCACCATAACTAAGATATGGAACCAACTCAGATGCCCCTCAGTAGATGAATGGATCAAGAAAATGTGTTACACACACACACACACACACACACTCACTCACTCACTGAAATTCTATGCTTCCATCAGAAAGAATGACATTTGTTAGGAAATGGAAAAATCATATTAAGTAAGCCAAACCCAAAGAAATATAGGTCCCATGGTTTCCCTTATTTACAGTAATTAGTATACATCTAGGATAATGTTATCAGATGAGCAGGAAAGCTGAAAAACTATGTACATATGACCATATAAGATGATGCTAAGTGAAATGAACCCCAAGATATGGGCACAAGAGATTTTTCTTTGTTGTTGTTTTTAATGTACCAACAAGGTTTTTACAATCACATTTTTAACTTCTAAAGTCTGAACATTTTTAGCACCTTCCATTAGTCTTGATCATTAACCTGAACTCAAAAAAATAATTCACTTTCACTTAGCATTTTCACTTTCATGGTTTAAAATTATTAAGATGAAATGTGGACTAAAAAAAGAAAGGTAGTTGGCTGTTGTAATACCATTTTCAGCTATTCCTTATTAGGTCCAGGTAAAAAGTGAGTGAAAAGCTTCTTTTCTTAATCACAGTATTAAAAATAAAACATGATTTGATTTTTAAAATGTAGTAAAAGTAAATTAAGTATATACTCCCTCAGAAAAATCAAGGTATGTTCATGTTACCAGAAAAACAAGGAATATACCATATAAACATGTATAACCAAATGATTATCAAATTTTACTAATATCAATTCTGGTAGAATATCAAGTTTATTTTAAAAATAATTAAATTCTGATAGTAAAAAAGGAAGAAGCTATTAAGCACTAGTAACATTGCTTTAACCACATTTGTTTTTTCCTTAATTTAGTCCATGCACAGCACTGGTGAGTGAAACCAAGAGAAGGTAAAAGTGTGCAAGAACAAATCTCAGTTCAGTCCTGCTGCTTTTAAGGCTGTGACTGTAGGTATGACCCAAATGGTAGAGTGCCAGCCGGGAGCAAGCAAGCCCTGTGAGAGTGTGAGGTCATGGGTTTAAGTCCTGGTACCAGCAAATAAATCAGTGAATAATAATCTGTATATTATGTTGCTTTTCATATTTTTCCCTGTAATTAATTACAGAGTTCTATAATTTCTTGATGAAATTTCCTTTTCCTTCCTCGGTTAGTGATGTGAATTGTGGAATTGCAGATATATTGTGGGGAAAACAAATTGCACAGAAGTGGATATTATTGTCAAGATATGTATACCATGAATCTGTTCTTCAGTATTGTCGTGAATCTGTAAAGTTACATGAAACGAGACCATTTTTCCAAACAATGGAGCAAAGAGAAAAAAGTTCAGATACTGAGCAAGAAATAAAAAGTGACAAACACCATCACTCTAGCTATTCATCTGATTTTGGCACTACACCACAGTCTTCTGGCCAGAACTCTCCAGCCAGTCCTTCACGTACAGATTCTAGGGAAACAATTGCTAAAAAACAAGTATCAGATAACCAAGTACATCAACAACGTAAGTATTCTGTAAGAGTCGTTTGGTTGTGCAAGACACTTAGGAGGACTTAAGTAAGACTTGTAGAAATGAAACTTTTCCATTAGTGGGTTTTTTGGTAAAATACAAGCAAGCTGATTTTTAATAGTTTGTATTTTGATAAATTTATATAAACATTATTCATTTATATAAACATGACATGGATCTCATATTAGGAATTTTTATCTCAAGTCTTGTTATAATGAGGCTTTTAAGTTTTGAAATGAAACAAGTTCTTATTTATATGAATTCTTGTCTGAGAAGTATAATCTTGTACATAACAAATTTGTTAGCATGCCTAGGAATAAGACTGAGAACTGAAATTTCTAGTCAGTATTTCAGAACAGCTCTGTAAAATCTTCTTTTTAATGAAACACAAGGTAGTTAAATTATAGAAATGGGTTTTTACTATTTCTTGGTTACATAATGAATCAGGTATCCATGGCTGTTACTACCTGGAGGGAAAGTTAGATTTTCTAGTTTTCCTTCATTTTCTTTTTATTCTGAATGCATTTCCTCCTGGAAACCCAAACAAACCAAACCTGAAGTCACCTTGGTGATTACAGTTCATTGTTCTTACCTTGAGCACATTCAGATCTCTGTCTTAAAGAATATATGGTTACATATTAAAGCTTCAGATCCTTGCAAATTTGTAAGAAATCTTACAAGTTCATATGTACTCTTTAGAGATTTTATATACTTATTATTTACAGTGTATTTTTTATTTCAAACTATGTCATGTTTTAATTTGAACATCACACAAAAATTCCCCAAGTAGATATTTAGAAGCATACTTGTACTCCTGGAAGAAAAACAGTCAAAGAAGGGGGTTCGAGTTTTGGTAGCAGCACCAAGACAGGGATCAAGAAACCCTTGGCGAAGACAGTATAATTATTTTGCAAATGGAAGTAGGGAACCACTAGGACTAGATCAGTGTGCTTATTGCATTGAAATGGACATTGGAAAGAGGAATGTCCAAGGAGGAGAACGATGGAAAATGACAGGTTAAGTAAGCACGTTAGCCACCTGGAAACTGTGTTCATATCTCCTGAGAAACATGGACAGTGTTACCCCTTGCCTTACTCTCTCCCAGTTTTTCCTTTCTGTCCCCACCCAAAGGTTGTGTAGTTCATTTTCCACAAGTGTGCAGTGAATAAGTATTCTACAGAATGCGCTGCAGAGGTTTCTTTTTTCTGTGCATACTTCATTTACTCTCATGGCTTCCTATTGAGGTGGTGATGTCTTCATTCTGTGGGTCAAGAAAATGACTTGGAATGGTTTAATTGAATTGTACTGATAATTAGGAAGTGGAAATTCAGATTCTCAAATCTTCTTCCTAGTTAATACGCTGTTTTCCTTTTACCCCAAATAAAGAAAAACAATTCTAGTTGATTTAGAGGAAACATATTTTCACATTGAACCAACAATGATCCCAACTGACTGGACACAGAAGACTTAGATACCACATTTAGTTTAGTGTTTATCTTACACTGTACTAATACTGATGGTGCTCGTATTTGATTTTGACTTGCCATCTTGTCTACAAAGTCAAAAGTAACTCGAGTCTGATACTGTCGTATTCTAAGACAGGGTAGAATAATTCTATATAAACTATTGGAATATCATTCTTGAGGAGCCAGAATGTTCTCAACTTTTTTTTAGAAGATACCAGGCTATTCTTGATAGAAAGACATTAAATAACAGCCATTATTTAACTGTTGTTAAGTCCTTTCATATAAAAAATAACTAAAAAATGATATGAGCCCAAGTGTGTTCGATGAATGACTAAGATGTAGCTTTTATTTTGTATCATTATTGTTTTCTTATTACATTTAGTGTATCTTTCATTTTGCACTATTAGTGTTTCTGTTTTAGCTCCTAGGAAACCAAGCCCTAAGGCTGTACCAACCAAAAAGGGCAGCCGAATGGGATTTCGCTCCCAGAGTCTCAATAGAGAGCCACTGCGGAAAGATCCTGATCTTGTTACAAAACGCGTTCTCTCTGCAAGTCTGCTAAAAATCAGTGCGTTGCAGAATGAAGTATGTGAACTCCAGGTCAAGATAGCTGAGCTGCTAAAAGAAAATAAGGCTTTGAAAAGGCTTCAGTACAGACAGGAGAAGGCCCTGAATAAGTTTGAAGATGAAAATGAAATTGCTCAACTTATACTTCGTCATAACAATGAGATTACAGTACTCAAAGAACACTTAAGAAAATCTCAAGAGAAAGAGCGGGCCACAGACAAGAGAGCAAAAGACACAGAAGGTGAATTGTCTAGGACAAAGTTTTCCTTACAAAAACTGAAAAAGATCTCAGAAGCCAGACACCTGCCTGAACGAGATGAATTGGCGAAGAAGCTAGTGTCAGCTGAGTTAAAACTAGATGACACCGAGAGAAGAATTAAGGTAAAGACTGTGGCTTCTAATTTTGTTCTCGTGGGCATAGTATGTTGCAGTTTGGCATTTGGTATTATTTTTCTGAGAAAGTAGGAAAAATTTAAGGTTGCACATATGAGAGCAAGATGCCAAGGAATGTATACACTGATAAGCCACATGTTGACTGATGATTGTTTAATTCCAGATTTTAGGCATTTGGGAATTACTTTACCTGGTTTTTTCTTCCTCCAAAATTGAAAGTGAAGCTGTCACAACCCATAACATTTATTTTTGAGGGCCTGTGTAAGAAACTCCTTGTGAATAATGCTGTGTGTGTGCATGTGATATGCACAAGAACTGGGGCTTGTATTCTGGACCTTTTCCTGTCATTTCTCTTGTTCACTCATGGCTGATGCTTTACCACTTGAGCCACACCTCCACTTTCATCTTTTTTCTGGTTAATTGGAGATAAGAGTCTAGCAGGTTTTAAACCTTGATTCTCAGATCTCAGCCTCCTGAATGGCTAGGATTATAGATGTTAGCACCTGTGCTTTGGTTTTGGAGAGTGTTCCTCCTCCCAAAATAAAAGCTGATAGGAGAGTGGTTAAGACTAGTAACTTGTCTGAGAACAGTACAATTGAAAAATTACTTGTTTCTATAGAGAAAGAAAGGAAAGGAGCCCTATTTCAACACTTACATTAGGTGATACTTGGTATCAAACATAAGTTTGAATTTGGTTCTAGTGCTTCAGAACTGATGAGTAGTTTGGAAAGCAAAAGTAGCCAAAAATTGTGGGATTAATGCCTGCTCTAAGACCAAAGGAAGTTCAGAAGTGTAAATAAATCAGTGCTTACTCTGTAGAGCAACTTACCCATGCCCAGTGGCAGTGACTCTATTAAACACACTATATAACAATGATCAGAAAACTACCTAGTTTTTTTCTCTCTAAATTTTGCTATCACTGTCCTCTATTTCAGTGCAAAGATAACCACGTTATAGAGGGTATACCACTGATCAACTTTTAAGTGCAAAGCCAATACTAGGAATGTTTGTGATCTGATTTCTGCAGTCTGTTCTGGCCGGGGTGTGTGTGTGTGTGTGTGTGTGTGTGTGTGTGTGTGTGTGTGTTACTAGGAATGTTTGTGATCTGATTTCTGCAGTCTGTTCTGGCCGGGGTGTGTGTGTGTGTGTGTGTGTGTGCATGCGCACGTGTGTGCCCTGTCATGACCACACTTTCTTGATTCTCTGCAGTCTGTTCTGGCCGAGTGGGGTGTGTGTGTGTGTGTGTGTGCATGCGCACGTGTGTGCCCTGTCATGACCACACTTTCTTGATTCTAGGATCCACAGACAGACCTTAACACTAGGTAAATTTGAGCTACTTACGCTGTGTCCTTTACTTTGTTGTATAAATTTTAGAATAAGCTTATCCATTTATACAAATAACTTCCTGGAATTTTTTTTATAGAGATTACATTAAATCTAGAACATAGAGTGACATTTTTATGTTGTTAAATTTCCAATTCTTCACAGTGTGATTTTCTAGTTCCTTCCCTCTCTCCTTCCTCCCTCCCTCCCTCCCTCCCTCCCTCCCTTCCTTCCTTCTTTCCTTCCTTCCTTCCTTTCTTTGTACCTTCCCACTCAACTTCTGGCATTTTGTTGGTTAATTGGAGATAAGAGTCTCTTTGACTGTCCTGCCTGGGCTGGCTTCCAATCACGATTGTCAGACGTCAGCCTCCTAAGTAGATGGGATTAAAGGTATGAGCCAACAGTGCTTAGTATGTAGTTCCCCATTTGTTTATATCTTTGATTTCAAAATGATTTCACTTCTTTCTACGTTAAAGGATTACTTTGTTTTAAAGGATTACTTTTAAACTTTTGTTTTCAATTTCTTAAATTTATATTCTAAAAATTCATTTTGTGAAGAATTGTGAGTGCTTTATTACCCACAAAAGAATGACTTGGTTTTAGATATTTAGACTCTCAGGTTTTAAGAATACTGGGTTTATATGAAGGCATGAATGTGGAGGGTGGTGAATGTGATCAGAACTTATTATATGCATATGTGAAGACAGAAAGTTGAAGGCCATTAAAGATATTTTATATTGAGAATGAATTACCATCTAGCTTCTTAAAATTATTACAGAAGGAGAGGGGATAAGAAAGTAACAGAGACCAATAAATGTCATCAAAATCCTTTATATGCCCATATAGAACTATCACAGTGAAACCTCTGTACAATTAATGTGTCCCAATTTTAAGAAATGAAGAGGAATATTGGATATCATCAGCTCCATGCCTCAAAATTTTATTTATAGATCTAAACTGCTTCCTTGCTGCTGTAATTGAAATTGTATTGGAATCAACATAAATGTGCGGTTATGAACCTGCTTCTCTTACATCAGTGATGTTTTGCCCTGCCACACCCTGCTAGTGCCCTCCAGTGGGGAGCTGTGCACCCCAACTCAGGCCAAGTATTCTGTGCTCTTTAGCTTCCCTCTCACTCTTCCTAAGCAAAATCTGGTTGTAACCACTACATGAAATTGTATCCTTCACAAGCTCTGTAATCAATCTAAAAATTTACTATTGAGTTTGTTATTTTGCTGAGAAATTTAGCTTTTGTGTTTTGTGACTTGCGCTGTTTTTCAAATTTTATTTCATCCAACTTTAAATTATTTTTTTCTTCTAATTCAGGAGGTCAGAGCCAGTAGCACTAATTGGTTAAGGGAGAAAGGCAGTTGATGGTAGTGTTTCACTTCAAATGAAAGTCTCGATTATCTCCTTGACTTTCAAGAACATTCTATTAGTTCTTTCTTTAGTTTCCTACTGTGTTTTCTCAGGAAGCTGTGTGCATGTTGGGCTTTGGGGGTCTTTTCACTTGTTTCCCTTGGAGAACATTTTGTTATATTTTAAGAGTTGCTCCTTGTGCTAGAACTTGGGGCAGGCAGTTTTGTTTATGAAATATTGCAGCAAGCCTCCTTCTTCCTGTAAGTTGCATTTCTTTCCTAGGAGGTGTGAGGGAGGTATTCTTCAAAGCTATCTTTCATTACTTGTGTGGTGAAAAACTTCCCTGTCAACACTCACGTATAAGAAGTAGGGTGCCAACCCATTTTGTTACTTTATGCAAATGACAGGATGCAAAGGATTTTAGTAATTTAGGGTAATGATGCTTTAGAAATGGATGTAGTGTAAAAGACATAAACACCCCTAGCTATGAACAAGACAAGCATCCTGACAGCAATGCCCTTCTTCAGGACCAGCCCATCCTAACTCTGCCTGTGTGACAGGGCTCGCCCAGATCCCAGATGTGTACTGAGGATAGAGCGCTGCCTGACAAGGTCAGACTTGCTGAGCTCTGTAGGAAGGGCAGGCAGCTGTCAGATTACATGTTTCCTTTTAAGAGTTGATGTTATACCTTCACTTTGGCTTTTACCCCCAACAAATTTATTACTTTTCCTAATAAAATGGTGCTTCATTTATTTTACTTTTTATTTCTTTTTTTAAATTTTTGTTTTGTTTTGGTTTTTGTCAGTCGTGGCGCTTGAACTCTGGGCCTGGGCGCTGTCCCTCAGCTCTTCAGCTCAAGGCGAGTGCTCTACCACTTGAGCCACAGCGCCACTTCCTTTACTTTTTATTTCTAAAAATTTATTAGGTGATATATATATATATATATATATATATATAACATAAAAGTATATAAGTTAAGAGGTATGATCATACATTTGAGTATATTATTGTTAGCTATGGTTATCCAATTGTACACTTCAACAAATTTGAGTTCTGTCAAAGGAGTCCCATTTTAATATATTTATTTTAATATTAGTACTTAATGTATTATTAGCTCAGTATTTAATACTTAAAACTTCATTGTGTGCGCAACTTAACTTCAAAAGCATAAGAACATTTTTAGTTTAACTTGGGGCCTTGCACTTGTTAAGCAAGCCTTGTAATACTTGAGCCATGCACTCAGCCCATTTTGCTGTCTATCAGATAGAGCTGTATGGTTTTTGCTCAGACAGCCTGGGTATGATCCTCTACTCACATTACCTATTGAGCTAGGACTATCCATTTGTATGGGCTTGTTTACTTTTTGCCTTGGCTAGCATCAAACTATAATCCTTTTGATCTCCAAGAGCTGGGATTACAGATATGAGCTGTTTTTTTTTAAGTTATATGCATTGGGTTTCAAACTTTATCTCAAGATTCATTTATATCCTTAAAAATTGTTGAGAACACTCCACGTACAAAGATTTTGCTTGTGGATTTATCTGTTAATGTTTATCACACTAGAAATTAAAATTGAGAACATCTGAAAATATTTTTCAACAAATATTTGTTTTACAAACAACTCATTGAAAGTTAAAAATCCTTCATGAAAAATATCTGCATTTTCCAAACCAAAAATAGATCCAGACAGGAATGGCTCATTAATACACTTGTAACTTTCCTTGGTGCCTGCGTTAATGGAGGACAGTGAGAGCCTGGGATCTGCTTCTGTGTCATGTTCTGCAGCCTGTTGTGGTTGATAAACAGGCTAGAAATTGAACCTCACAGATGCATATAGTAAAAAAATAGCGGAGTTTTAAAAAATAGTCTTTTCAGAGAACTGAATGTTCATTGCTATTATGCTAGAACTTGTGTTACATATCCCAACAGTTAAGTTACAAAATGGAATCTGAAATCGTATCAATGAATTTTTTGTATTCAGTAACAAGGCAGTGCTTTCATCTCCTTTGAATAAATATTCTAAGCATGATTTTGTAACATCATGCATTAGTCATTTGGAAAATATCAATTAAACTGTGCAAATTTCCCAAATGTTGGTAAGTGTCCCTGTAGCATGTATCACCTGTGATTGGGACTGTATCCTTAGGACAGACAGCACAGTAGTGAAGACAGCAGATAGTGTGCTTCTAAAATAGTTCTCACCCAGACACACCCCAGAGTGTTCTGGAGATATTTAACCGTTCTTCCCACTGTTCTTTGGGAACTCCTGATTTGCTATAAATTAGAGCTTCATTAGCTTTTGCTGC